ATGGATTTTAATATTGTTCCAAAAGGAGATTTAGAAAGTCAATAACTATTTCTTTTTCAACAAAACTCTTCAAATGATCCTTTACAATACTTACTCAACTGTTTTTGATTGAAATTGAGGTATATATAATCTATTATAGTTTATACATTGAGGTTGAGTGATTGGTAGCTTGTGTTTGACGTGGAAAGTGATTTGAAATTGTCAAGTAGATTTTGTTCGGATCAACTTTTGACAATCTGTTGTATGAAAACAAATGGGCAAGTAATTGGTTTTTTTTGGAAAACACTAGCCATCAAAAAACTTGAAGGACATACCATTCTAAATCAGATTTTCTAATTGATGAGCTGAACTTCAAGATCAAACGTTTAAAACCAAAACTGGGAGAGAGAGAGCAAAGAATATATACATTAAGCCACAACCAAGTTGTTCTTTGTTGTGTATAGTTGCCTGTTACTTATTGCCAATACCATATAAAGGACCCACAGAAGCATAAGATGACATCAAATTCTGTCAAGGGCTGGACTTCCTGGGTCAGGCCTTGCTTTGTTCTGTGTCCTGACCCGCTTTGTGATATTTGCTCGGGACACTTCTTTGTGATTATTGGTCCAGACTGATGGCAATGGATGATTGATTATACATCAGCTTATATTACTAAAATGGTGTGTAGGCCAAAATGATTTAAAAAAGAGATAGACTGACATATATCATGAATCAAAATACTCGCAAAGCCAAAGACCAAGCTAGAACTGTGAGCTGGGTCAGGGATAAAGCCTTTGTATCCCGTAGGTCAACACAGTATAGCATTGAGCATGCCTTTGGGTACAACTATGTGAGTCGGAACATGATGAAATGGTCCAACAGATCTGGAACATGGTAGATTGGAAGCTCCAAGGAGTGGATCACGGGTGAGATTGTTGTCACAGAGTCTCTGATCGGTTGTCATGAAGCCATGCCAAGGGTTCAAATCCACTTTTGGAGGACAAGAGAGATCCTGTTTGTTTTCCATGCAAGGCAAATGTTGGTTTTCTATACATTCAGACAAGGATTGAGTTCAGAAAAACTCACATTCAAAAATGAAGTGATAAATTGGTTCTGAGCTGCATATTTATTAGGAGCTTTATGTGTTTTCCTGCCAGTACAAGAAAGAAACACAACGACTTGGTCAGGTTGAAGTTTTTGATCATTCAATGGCTTTCCAACAATATTCAATAAGTTTGCGACCATAGCAATGTTCACTGGTAGCAAACCAATTCAGGTTTGTTGAACAGCAAGGTAGGCTGAAGAAGTTGGTGTTTTATTATTATTGGTGCCTGATCCATCATATGTACTTACCCAAATGACCGTATCAACCATCCTTGGAGAACAGGTAATGTGAAACAATTCCAGCGGTCTGGAAATTTGATTCAAGGTATGTCAGAAGAATCATCATGAAAAGTAAAGTTCAATTGATCACAAGAAAAAACCTCTTGGAATGGAGCAACTCTACACCATAATCCGGAATCAATCAAAGTTGGTAATCAATTGGTAGCTGGACCAATCAGTAATAGATGAGCAAATGCTCTAGTTTGAACTAAAGCTTCACCAGCTTTAGGTTGTGAAGAATGAATAGAGTGATAAGCTCTGTATAGTTGAATGATATCAGATTATATGCTATAGCAAATCATTTGTAAAAGTTTGAGCGATTATTTGGATTTACAAACAATTTCAAATCAAAAGTTAAAGAAATGTAATCTGATCAATAAAAGGTCAAGAGAGGTTAAAGAACTTACAAAATGTTCTTTGCAGCATTTGATCAAATCAAATCAACCCTTTGATTTCATTGATTGATCTTATGTAGACTGTTTGATAAGATGATGGATGGTGATGATGAAGCCATTGAGTCATAATCTGAACCTTGGAAATCAAATTCAATTTTCTTTCTTGAATCATTGATTGGTATCAATGTTATCAGCGGTCCATTGAAGAAATCTTAAAAACTCTCAATCTTGAGTGGTATGACTCGGTGACAATTGTGAAGTCCAGACAACAAGCGGCCTTGAGAGTCTCATGATCACAGTACTGTCTTGGTGGATATGTGCAGCAAAGTTGCACTGCCATCACACCGTGAACTCTGAAAACTTGCTTTATACGCTTGCCAGCTGGTGATCCTCATGCTGGCCAGCTTGGCTCGGGTCACACTGAGAGATCCGGACAGGTTTTTCACATCAATGACGCTTGCAACCAAATCATTGCACAAGTTGTTAAGATGATGAAAATGAAGAGAACTTTAACACTTGTTGAAATCCATTAACATAGGATTGTGAGATCGTATCTGGATGATATTTGGTAGTTGTAAGGCATTTCGTGTGAAACAATGGCAAATGGCAAGTCAGAAATCAATTGTCCTTGAAGAATTTGGGTAGATGACTTCTGCATCCAAGGGAATCTTTGATTTGGAAACGATGATGGTTGTTCTGGGTCGCTTTTATGTTCCCGAAGGATTCTTACCAATGGACAAAACCAGGAAATCAAGATAATGGTGAATTTTGTCCAGTTTTGTAAGTGAACTGTCTTTGGGATTAAATATTATGATATTTTTAGTGACCATGAACATGCAACGTACTTGGTATAGAATTGTGCTACTCATAATATACCAAGTGATTTCCATCATGTCATCCATTAGGGCAGTTCAAGTTCGGGATTGCAAGCAGGTGAATTTCAACAAGAGATCATGATTTTTAAGGCACAATCATGCCTAAAAATCCTGCTTGATTTGCCTCAATTGTTGTAAATATAAGTTTCAACATCTTGCCAACAAAGGTACAGAGAGATCCAACGGCCTTTCTTTTTCTCTTTGCTACCTTTTGTTTTTTTCTAAGATGCTTGATCACCGGTTGTCCAGTTGGTGAAAGGGATCAGATCCATAACTCAACCCGTGGTCGAGTCTCAATTGGTGTTATTGTCTCCTCTCCATCTTTGGAAAAGCACCAAATTCTCATAATCATCATCGGAGCAACCTCAATGCCCCAAGTTTCACAGCGCGCCAAGACCATTCGAGAACTTGCTGACATGTGTGTCTTTGCTCATGCGGACATGGAGCTATCTTTACCCGGCATTAATGGTGATGATGCCAATGATCTTCTCACCGATGGGACTTTGTTCTTCCCTGATGATCCAGAAGATGCAGATCTGTATGACTTACTCTTTGATGAAGAGGAAGACTGGTCAAATTATCTTACTTTGATTTCAACTACAAGATACTTGGATCCACGTTTTCAAGCACCTCTAGCCAGTCCTTTCAACTTGAAGGACATGTTGCGCAATCAGTGTACCAATTTTCAACAAGCGATGTGAACTTCTCCTGAAGGCTTTGCCCCACTACTTGCTATGATACAAACCCACCCAGTCTTCTTTTCCACCAGTCGGAATCCGCCGCCACCCGTTGAACGTCAACTAGCAATCACCTTAGAACGCTTGGGAAGCAACAGAAATGGCGCCTCAGTTGGAAGGTTTTCCCGTAACTATAAGGTTGGTCGTGGTACAGTAATTAACTGTACACCTCGAGTGATTGAAGCAATTTTAGACAAAGGAAAGACTTACCTCAAGTGGCCAAATGCTGAACGCCGTCAAGCTATATCTCATGTACTTGCTCAAGACGGGTTTCCGGCGTGTGTGGGTTTCGTGGATGGGACAACTGTTCCCTTTTTTCAAAGGCCAGGGTTAGATGGCGAGGTTTGTTTTGATCGGAAACATAATTACTCCCTCAAGATTCAAGTCATTTGTGATTGTGACCAAAGAATAACCTATGTGTATGGTGGCTGGCCAGGTTTGTGCTGTGATAGCACTTTCTTCAACAAGTCTGACATTGCTAATAATTCCAATAATTATTTTGATAAAGGTGTGTGTTTTTTACTGTACTTTTGAGATAGTTTCTAACTGACTCAATCTCTGATATTCTGTAGGGGAATACCTGATTGCAGACTCTGCATATACTCCAACAGACACAGTTGTCCCATCTTACAAAGGACAGGCTGCTGAAGTGGATAGAAATCAACAATTTAATTGGTGTGTTGCTAAAGCACAAATCCGTAATGACCATTCAATTGGGGTGTGTAAGCTTTGATGGGCTTCATTGCAATGTTTACGGTTAGCTTTGAACAAGCGTGAGGATATAGATCATATATTACAATGGATTAGATGCTGTGTTATTCTCAATAATATGTTGGCAGACTTTGGCAACGCCTGGAGTGAGATTGAAATGGAAGTAATGCTGGCTGAAGTAGGTGCACCAGCAGTCTCAAACATTATGGCCTTGAACGACCACTTAGACATGGGTGCAGTGGAGTGTGGAAGAAAGATGAGAGAGATGGTGCAGGATCACACAGTTGCTTACAATTGGGAAAGTGGTGGCCTCCCAATTGTGGATTTGTAAGTATTATATCTTTGTTCAATTTTTTGTTTATTCATGTTATTTGTCTTTGTTGTTCTTTCTTTATTTCAAAATTCATGTGAATTTCCTTTTTGGTTTGTTGCTTTGACACAATTCAACCTTCTCTTTCTGTGGGCAATTTTCTGTTTTCAACTTTTCACGGATTGTATCTTTAGTTTGAACAAAGTATGATTGATTACATTTCAATCACACACATTTTTTTAAAACTCTACAACATAAGAAGGAACAGGATATTTTTATGTATTTTGCTATTTAACTCTATAACTCTATAACAGAGTGCACAAAAAGTGAAAATGAAAAATGAAAACTTTTTTTTGAAGTTTGATTTATTTTCTGAGAGACAAATGAAGAAACAATACCCTATGAAGGCAAAATATATATTCCATTTGGTTCTATTGTGGAGAGACTTTGATTAAGAATATGAATGTTTTGATTTTCGGAAGTGAGGGTCAGTCGTTGCATTTTGCTGGTTGGACTTTTTGGATGGAAGTGTTTTCACAGACCTATGAAACCTAGGTGAGCACTACACTAATATTGCTTTGATACTGAGAACCAATAACTGAGAAATGTGCTACACACTGATAGATTTGAATTGATGATAAGTGCTTGAGCGATAAGAGCTTGAAGACATTTGAATTGAAGATAAGAGCTTGAAGATAAGAGCTTGAAGATAAGAGCTTGAGACAGTCAAATGAAGATATTTGAATTGAGCAATCAGAGCTTGAGATATTTGATTGAAGATATTCAATTGAAGATATTCGAATTGAGAGATAAGAGCTTGGATTTGAATTTGTAAATCTAAGGCCGGTCTGATTGAAAAGGTAACTAAACTAAAATCTTGTGATACTGAGAGATGGCTACTTGTAGCAAGATCAAAATTGAAAAGGTAAAAAAATAGATATGAGTGGTCTGCCTCACAATTTCACAAAGCAGACCACACAGCACATCCAGCAATCTATATTTGAGGAAGGAAATAGCTGAGTCTAACAACACATAGGCAGCCCAGAATAACCTACCAAGTCAGAGAATTGAAGTTAAGACATGATACATTTTTAAAAAGCTGTTGCTGTTTTGAATTATATCCATACAGTCATGAGGTGAGAGTTCAAAACCCAGGAGGGGCACTAATCTTGCAATACTGAGAACTGAGAACTACACAACACACTGACTACTTGGTTACATACTGAGTGAAATATTAAAAGCAAGATTTAGAGGAAACTGAATCAAACGTTCAAATCAGTTCAAAGTCAGCAAGGGCTTCAAAACTCAGATTGAATAAGATAGACAAAACTGTTACACACCTGTTATATATATATATATATATATATATATGATTGATCTTTTGGAAAGATAACATTAAGGTAATCTTGCACCTCTTCTGGTGACTTACCACCAAGCGCCAACTCCTTGGCAACTTTGCTTCTCTCGTGTGCTTCTTCCAATTTCTTTTCAGCGACAGCTACAGTCTTAGCTTCATTATGTTTGTGATAATATTGCTCTCTTTCCCAGTTCAACCTAGATGTTTCAAGAGTTGCCTTCTCAGTGGTCAAGCGGTGTTCCTCTGCAACCTTCTTCTCTTCAAATGAGTGGCGCCAATTTCTGTTGTCCCTCAAGATGGACATCTTCGCATCATTCCCACTTTGGACGGCTTGCGCAACCGGATGTTTGTGCTCTTTGATGCGGACATTCAAAGGGTTGATTGAGGGCAGGGGATCCAAAGGCCGGCCTGCTAAAGTTCCCCAATAAGGCACCACAGCCACACTTCCATCGGCTCCGTTGTTCTCACCTTCCAAATCATCTAAGGCAAGTTCAGCAGATGTAAGTTTTTTGGTTCGACAATTCTTGCGTACAGCTGGCGTTGCCTGTTTACGTTTAGTGCGGCTAACACTGGTTGAAGTTGAGGCTTCAGATGCCTTCACAGCCATACTTCCATCGGCTCCGTTGTTCTCACCTTCAGACAACGCTGGACCAGCTGCGCAGGGAACTGCTGAAGCGCAGCTGGTACACGCAGCACTTTGGGGTGGTTCAGCTCAGCGGCTGTCAGCCGCGCTTCGGGAGCCTGAAATTTCTGCAGCGCTTTTTAAAATGCATTTAAAGGTATTTTTTTTACGCAGCGCTCCAGGCGCTGCGGGTATTATACAGCGCTTTCTGCGGGTTCAGCAACTGGGACATACATATGTACAGCAGGTGGGTCAAGGGCACTCAGTCTCCAGTCTTCCCCTGTCCAGCCACCACTCCCCATTCGGTCACATACACCTTTCATCCCCCTTGCTTCATTCCACCTCCACCCAAATCCATACTATATAATCACTGATGAAAAGCAAAAAAAGGAAGAATTGCTTGATCTCAATCCAGCTAGAAGAAGACCCAATGACGCTAGTTCGACTTGATCCAGAAAGCCACCCCTTGCTTTTATCATGTCCACCCCTAACCTTGCCAAAAGGCATTCATTCATTCACTCAATCAATCAATCTCTCGAAGGAAACCAATCCAAGCAAGGATAGTTTTCTTCATCTTCAACATTTATTCCATCAGATTCAAATCAAATCTCATTTACATATTGTTCATCCCGCTATCAACCTACCTTTTTGTTTTACAAAGTTATCTGAAAGTGATATCATCTTCATCATGCCTCTTCAATCCACGCTGTCGTTTTCCTCATTGCAAACTCCTGTTGGATATACTCTCAATTCTAGCCGCCCTCAACGTATTTGCCAACCTCTGTCAAACCCTGGTATGGTTTCACCCAGCCCAGACAGCAGACGCCGACTATCGATTACGATAGAAAGCACCCCTTTGAATCTTAAACGACCAGCAGCCATCGAGGTACCTGACCTATCTGAATCAGACGAGGTTGAATGTGTTGAACCTGTAAAGAAGAAGCACAAGAAAAAGATGAATAAGAAGAAAACCACTACACACAAACCAGTAAGTCATTTTCCTTAATCATCAATTTCAAGTTAAAGTTCTTAATAATTGGTTGTTATACTGACCTTTCATTTTGGAAGACTGCAACTGCAGATACCGGAACCGGATCAGCGTTTGTTACTCAAGAGACACTACGTGCTGACTCTGACATCGAAAACGACAAAGTCCAACCACAAGCCTTGGGTAGATCTGAGAACCAAGACCTGCTTGACTACTTTGGGGAACCTACTTGCAAACCCAAAGATGTCAGTGGTAAAAAACAGATTTGTTGTACTGTTTCTACCATTCCAATTTGATCATAGCACTGACAATTATAACTTTTCTGTTCACAGGATCCAACACTGCCCCCTCTCTCTTATCCGTGTCCCTGGTGTTCGGCCAATAAGAACCACCCTGTCATTGTTTGGGTCAGCCATAGTAACATGACCAACAACCTCAAATGTCACCGCGATGGAAATCCGGCTCCCGGTTGGTCTAAGGTTGGATGTCCCAGTCAAAACGAAGCTTGACGTTCAGGTCTCAAAGTACCTCCATCGCTGGCCGAGGTTGCCCATCAGGATGAGATTTCCAAGAAGAACCAGCCTGGCACTTTTTCTTCGTTCGTCACCATCGGACAAAAGGTAAAATTTGAGAATTTGACATTTAATCAAATGATGTCTGTATGGATTCTCCGCCAAGCCCTTCCATGGTCTCAGATGAACAATACATGGCTCAGAGCGGCGGTTCAGTTTCTACGACCCGATGCCCGCTTGTATGGTCGGCGATGGGCTGCAGAAGAGGCCAAACGCTTAAACCTTTCAATGAAGAAGGTTGTTTTTGACGACCTGAAGGTAAGTGGTTTCTTTCTGCTCAATTTCTCAATTGGTCTGTGTATGTAACGTTCAGCTAATCACCATCTCGATTTCATAGAAGTTGACGAGCAAGTTTTGCCTTCAACAAGACGTGTGGACGACCAAAGGAAATCGACACGGGTTTATCGGCAGTGCCGTCACTTTTATCAATGACACCTGGGAATTCAAAACTCGCCATCTCACTCTTAAGCTTGTGGCCTGGCAACACAAAGGCAAATGGCTTGCTGAGCCTCTTGTCAATGTGTTTGTCAAGCGTGATTTGGTCAACAAGATAAGTATTTCATCTTATCAATCTTGCTAAATACCTGAAGTATTAAACGAAATAATCTAATGTGCGATTTTTTTATCCACCTCCTTTGCCAGACCACAGATTCCGGATCTAACAATAACACTATGGCCAGGGAAATGCATTCGCAGTTCCTGGACTCGGATGACATCTCTGATTATACCTGGGATCCACACACCATGCATATATATTGTTTTTGCCACAAGATGGCTCTCATCGTTGGTGCTGGCCTCGCCGCTCTCCGTCTCAAAACCCCAACTCCTAGGAAAAGCAAGTCGACCATGCGAGGCCATTTTCCTGATGTCCGATCAACCGATATCATCAAAGAAGAAGGCAAACCGGCTGATGACAATGGACCTGTTGCTGAGGTTCTCGATGTACCTCAACCCCCACTCATCGACGAATGTGAATTGGAACCTAACCTCACCGAGCTTGCTGAACGTGAAGAGGACGACGCTGAGCCAGAAGCAGGTGCGTTTGAAGAAGACAAATGGAACACCGCTGATGCCAAAGAGGCAGAAGATCCCATTCAATCTATTGAAAGTGAAGTTCACCCAACTCATCGACGTGAAGCGAACAAGCTGGATGCTCTTCTCAACAAAGTCAGATAAGATTTCATCATTTGTTTGAAATCTCTCTACATCTATGTGATTGACTGACCCTTCCTTACTTTTCAATAGGTTGATTTAATTCTTTGCCGTATTACCAGCTCTTCAGTCTGGCAAAAAGAATTCGACCGAGTCAAGCAGAGCTTAGGACTCGATGTCGAGTCCCTGATTGCTGCGTATGGCATCCGTTGGAATAGAAAATACATAAGCCGTCATAAGGCTTGGATGGCTCGTGACGTAAGTTTGTGGTTTCTTTTCTTTTCATTTCATCTTCACAGGATTGACATACTTTGGAGTGACAGGTCATCGATCAACTGCTCAAGGATGACCTGGCTCGCATTCACACCAAAAACCAAAGACCTCGCAAGAATGGTAAACCATACGGGTATTTCCATGAGTTGACTGTGGCACCTTCAGAATGGGCTCAAATTTGAAATTTAAACTCGGAGCTTAAAGTAAGTTTTTCAACATGGGGTCCATGTCTTTGTAAGAGATCTGATGTTTTTGATTGGACCATTTCAGCTGTTTCTTGACATGACCAAACGGATGGAGGGACATAAGCCCACCGGTTGCATGGTGATTGCAGAGTACGTGGAGCTTAAGGCTACCTTGCTGGCGCGATCTCAAAAACTTGATACAGCCGATGCAATGTACCCGATGATTGCTGCAATGCTTGAAAAGACACAACAGATATTGGAAGAAGCTCTGAACTGCGAGACCTTGATCATGGCCTGTCTACTTCATCCAGAATTTCGCCTACGGTTCTTCCACACCTTCTTTGGCTCAACTGCAGCGATCTCAATCCAAGCCGAGTCTCTCTTTAATGACCATTTTAAAAAGTATCAAGCTGCATTTGCGAAGAACAATAAACAAACAAACACTCAAAGTAATATTCAATCAGAAACAGCTGAAGAAGTTCAGCCTTCAATCTTTGCAGTTTATAATGATATGCAAGAAGAAGAAATTGGTGATGATAATCAACTTCGAGACTACCTGGGTGGTCGCGACCATATGAAGGCTCTGGAGTATGATCTTAGAGATCCTAACTCGGCCCTGAGATGGTGGCAGGTAGGTATTTCATTGAATTTCATTTATTTTATCAAATCAAGGCTGATTATGATACTTTCATTTGAATTTGTAGCTTCATAACAATCGATACCCAATTGTTGCCACCATGGCCATGGACTATCTTGCTTGCTCTGGTTCGTCTGCTGCACCCAAAAGGATTTTTTCGGCTGCAGCGGATGTTTGTGCTGCAGGTCGAGGAAGCCTAGCTTCAATCACTATCGAAAGGGAAGTCTTGACTCTTATCTGGCTTCGTGAGGGGGTCTCTCTGGGCCCAGAGTTCATGAAGTTGATGGAAGCGTGTAAGATGTCCGAGTACAGTGGCTATGTGAAGGTGCACTATATGTCACAAAGTTCTGGTGCTTGAATCACTTCTTTATTTTGTTTTTTTCGGTTTGGCCCTTTTCACTTTTTTCTATTGTCTTTAAAATCTTGTCTTTCATTCATTCCATTTTTTTAAAACTTCATTACATTCTTTTATTATAATTAACCTTTATACTTGTTTAATTATAAGTCTCTGACTATTGAAGAAAAAAAAATTGGCCGGGATTCTCAACGCTGACCGCGCTTCAAAAGCGCAGCGGCGCATTTGAATAGGGGTTGGGCGATATTTCGACCAACCGGTTTTGCGCCTCTGAGAAGCCTGGAGAAAGCAGTCAAAGATGATGGAGAGCAAGTTTTATGGGTTTCACACATCTGTTACGGATCTGAGCTCAGAGCCGAGAGTGTTTGGGCAATACCCAGGCAACCTTTTGCCTGAAGAGAAGGGTTGGGGATCAGTGAAAGGTGCAAAAGGCGTGTTTGCATGGCTTGTACTTACAAGCCCAGCGGCACAAATCAATTTTCCCTGTAAGACTTTTGAACAGGTGAAGGTTTGGACTTCTGAAGAAGCACTTTGTACCAGTCTGTATTTTTGCAAAGCGAAAAGACGGACCAAAAGGTTGGTTGGTTATGAGTGGCTTTGGTATTGCTTTTGAGTGATCTCGAAAGCATTCCTAAATCTTTGAACTGCAATTGAATTGCTTTTGGAAACCGGTTGGTCGAAATTTCGCCCAATCCCTATTGTAGCGCTGCCATTGGCAAGATTTTTGAGCAGTGTGCAAAAGCTGCGCTGATGCCCGGTTTGCTGCTCACTCAAGATATTTGGAGCAGCGGGAATCCGCTGCGCGTACCGCTGCCCCCTCTGAAGCGCAGCAAAGCGCAGCTGGTCCGGCGTTGCTTCAGAATCAACTAAGGCAAGTTTGGCAGATGTAAGTTTTTTGGTTTGGCAATTCTTGCGTACAGCTGGTGTTGCCCGTTTACGTTGAGTGCGGCTAACACTGGTTGAAGTCAAGACTTCAGATGCCTTGCTGACCGGTTTGACGTTCTGAGTCTTAGGAGTTGATCAAATCCGTGAATTGAGAGGGGGAGTTAAAACCAGAGGCAGATAGTCACTGGCACTGGCATCTCTGGCTTTACCGTGATTGGAGTCAGAATCAGAAATGACAATTTCTTTAGCGCCAAAGAAACCAATTTGAGGCTTGAC